GGTCTTTTAGAATGATGTTTGTAAATATCACACAGGGATTTTTCCAAAGATATAAGGTTGCCCTTCGTGTAGATAAATTTGAGATAACTGCGTATGGTATCTAATTGAAACTTATTTCAATAAAATACGAGAGTATATTTTATTTATTTGTTGAAGATGTTGAACAAAACATTGAACAATTGTCCAAAAAGCAGTAAACAGTCTTAACGTACAAGTGAGAGGTCTAAAAAAAACCTGCTGCGTGCTTTTAAAGATTGATACTATAATTGTAAAAACATTGGTCAATGAATATCAATGTTACAGACCTAGTTATGGAGGATAGTATGAGTGTAAAGTCGATGGAATCAGTGGCGACAAGCGATGAATATGAATTTGTAAATGAAAAAGGTACTAGCAAGCAGCAGCAAGCCCTCTTAGAACCACCCATGCTAAAAATCGCCAATAACGGTAATCTGGAGGACCTGCAAAATAATCTCCGTGAGGTCTGTACATTTATCGAACTTATCGTGTGACGCCCCCTAATCTTAATAGATAAGCTTTAATCTAGATTCATAACTGATAAATGCCATAGAGTAATGTGTATTATATCTGCTTTGTGTGACAAACGCAGATTTTAACAGAGGACTCGAAAATGGAGGGAAGTGAATTCAAAGTGACGGGTGCTGGCCAACAGAACCAAGAGAAGATGAAGAAAGTGGGCCACAGTAAATTTTACGACGTTAGTTCTTGTATTGTCACATCGGAGAAGCAGGATATTATGAAGCCCGAAGATTATCTTGAAGAAGGTAAGTTACACTAACGTGTCTGTAAACAATAATAAGCAATACGAATGTGATGGACTTTAGATCTAATAGTACATTTATTGTGATCCAGAATTGAATACATTGTCACACGTTCAACAAGAATGCACTATTTTCAATGGTGTTATGTATTTGGGATCAGCTGCCATAAATGCGCCAAAATCAGAATGCGAAATCCAACGTAATATGAATATATTAAACGCAGAGCAATCCTTGAATTTAGGAATAAAGGTTTCTGTCTCGGTGCCGAGTAGTTCGCAAGGTTCAGTTGTGTGAGTAATCTAATCTGTATCCAATTTAATCTGTGTCCAATCTAAATTTAAATCTACACAAAAAGACCATATATATATATATATATACACACACACATATATATATATATATATATATATAATGTGATGAAGTAATATATACCATAATTCTCTTTAGTCTATACGATGCTGGAACACAACAAGCTATCGCGCGTTATGAAGTCCAACGTATTCTATTTTATGCACGTGGTGAGAGTGCTGGTTCATGTGCAGCATGTTTTGCTTTTACATGGTCACACGGGGATACTTTAGAATCTGCCATTTACCAATGTCATGTTTTTCGCTGCGATATACCAGAAGCGGTACGTTTTTATATTATTGATTATCATATATATGTAAATACGTTTAAAAATATGGCTGTAGTATTATATTCTATATTTACAAATCATAATTTCACTTTAGTATGTTTGAGATAGATAGAAACGTAACATGTATAAGACATAAATATAACATGTAGTCATTTTTTATATATAGTGATTACAAAATAGACATATACAAAATAATGTGTATCTCAATCTGTAATTATTTTATGTAGGTCGGACAAGTGTCAGCCTGCTTTTCAAAAGCGTTCCATAGAATACCACGTTCAATGACAAGTTCTTTAACGGGCAGTGACTTTAACGGTTTCAATCCTGGTGAAAAAGTTAATTCTAGAGTATTTATCTTTGAAGTCACTATGGAAATAAAAGAAGAAGATGGAAAAGGTGGTTTTAGTACAGTTCCCAAGGATAGAAATTGTTTTAAATTACGAAGCAATGTGGCAAAACAAGTTTGTTTGAGTATCCAGCAAGTGTCCAGTAAAGAAGGTGGTATTACGCTTGAAGTCGAGAGATGTTTCGGAGTACTTGTTAGCCCTGGGCGAAATGTTAAACACAGTGATATGCGACTACTCGAGATGGTAAAGAGAGATTCACACCAGCAAGTTAATTTTATGTCTATAATCAGCTCAGATGTTCGCAATATTACAACAATTTTACAGCAAGTTAATACTGGACCAATAATGCAAGATAAACAGTGCTATAATATTTGTGGACGTTGGGATCCTGCAGATCCCGCTTTGGAAACTCTTAATATAGAAACTCCTAGAGAGGGTAAAATATTCATGACCGTTGCCGTTGATCTCGTTATTAGAGATATTCGAGAACCAGTAAGATTTGTGATAGAAACGTCAGTTAAAGTGTTTCCACAAAACGAGAGATTTTGGTACTTTAATAAAAGGAATCTCGTGCAACAGTTTTTTCTTAATTCCAAAGAGGTGAGCTGTCCTGATATTCTTATAAGACATTATGTTTCACAAATATTTATCAGCTTATATTACATGTTATTTGTTTTACAGGTAATTTCTGGGGATGGTACAGAAGTACATTATGAAGTACAAAGCATAGAATCATCTGGTGAATTAGATAGAAACAGATTAAATCTGGCTCTGAATCTGGCATCTTTAATTAGATCTCCCTCTTTAACTAGCATCGATACACTGACACCTAAAGAAGAAATAGATTCAGGTAATAAACTAAATTCTAAAAGGAGTTGGCTCGGTAATTTACTAACATAAAATATGTTTGTTAATGTCTCAATTTCTGCATATAGACGGTGATGAACCTATGTTAAGTGGTACAGGCGAAGTTTCGAAGGACTGCTCGGCGGATGAATTGGCCAGTTGGGCTGAAGTTTTAGATAGTTGGCAAGTTAACGAGCAACGTCCGAAACTTCTTATAAAACTGACAAAACAAGGAATTCCTGAAGCTTTGCGCGGCGAAGTTTGGCAACGTCTGAGCAATTGTGACAATTCGCAAGAAATGATGGACAAATACAGAATGTTAATCACGAAAGTGAGTACTTGATATAATTTCATACAATAAAAAATGGTTAATGTTTTTTCTCTGAGATATAACATGAATTTTGATAATACACAGGAGAGCAGCTGCGAGAGCGTAATTTTAAGGGATATCAATAGAACATTTCCAGCCCATGACTTCTTTAAAGAAACAGGTGGTTTAGGGCAAGACTCTTTATACAGAATAAGTAAAGCGTATGCTGTTCACGATGAAGAGGTTGGATATTGTCAGGGCCTCAGTTTTTTAGTTGCTAGTCTGTTACTGCACGTAAGTAATTGTAGTACATTTTTATAAAAACTAATTTTGTAGAACTGGTGATAGGGTTCTTCACAGATGATACATTTTATAACAGTTTGTAAAGTATTTGTCGACAAAAACAAACTTGAGTATTTCTTCTAGATGCCCGAAGAGCAAGCGTTTTGTGTTCTGGTCAAATTAATGTACGACTATGGTCTTCGAGATTTATACAAGGATAGATTTGACAACCTTTACATGCGATTTTATCAATTAAATCGTTTAATAGAAGTGAGTTGTGGCTAATCTATATGATAATGTGACGTTTATATGACAATGAATTATGTATAAGCTATATTTTCTACAATTTGCTTTTAGGATCAATTGCCGGAACTTTATAAGCATTTCTGTGATCGCGGTGTAGAAACGCACATGTTCGCCGCACAATGGTTTCTAACTCTATTTACTGCTAGATTTCCATTATATCTTGTCTTTCATATCTTGGATGTATTTCTTTTACAAGGACTCGACACGCTATTCCAAGTCGCCCTCGCTTTGTTAATGGTAAGTTATTGTAAGCAAGTTAAAAAGTTTATAATATGTACCAACAAAATATATTTCATCGATATATTTTAACTATTTTATCGATTTAATTGATATGATTCTTTACATTTATTCTATAAATAGTATATGTCAAAAGTAATTTTACTTTTCAGCTTTGTAAAAAAGAATTATTACAACTAGATTTTGAGAGCATATTAAAATACTTCCGGGTACATTTACCAAAACGTTGCCGAAACGAAGAAGTTGCACGCTATGTTATGAAATTAGCTTGTTCAGTGACATTGAAGAAATTGAAGAAATATGAAGCAGAATTTATGACGTTGAAAGGTAATTTTATATTCTACGTTTGAATACTTCTCTGTTCACCTTTAAACACAATGTTCCATCAATTCATTAGGGAACACTACACTGTGCTGTACATGCATGTACATTTCGTGTATAGTTCAGCAATCATTGCCTGTTGGTTGTGAATTTGTTTTCAGTGTGGATAGAAGCTTTAGGCACATACGAACTTTATTATATTTATAGACATGCCATATTAAAAACTAAAGAGTCAAAGATTCTTGGCAAGAGCTATTACTAATAAAACTACATATAAAATACAACGAGTTCTTAGGCTGTGCCATAGAACGTATATTTTTTGTAGTACTTAGAATAGAATTTTTCTAAAATCAAATACAATCTAATTAAAATACATAGAAATGTATATTGCTATGTTTTGATAACACGATAGTAATAGAAATATAGTAAATTAAATCTATTAAAAAATAAAAAATTTAATATTATAGATATATTAATTAAATATAAAATGTATTCAACCTGTACGTAGGACAATATGCTCGCGCGTGTATATTTAACGTTTATACGTATAAATTTGATAATAAATACATACGAGATAGAACTTCATACTTTCTGAGCCAAAGTATGTATAAAATGTTTCTAGTCTCATAGCATTCACTGCATCAAGTACTCAAACTTTCTTATTAATAAATGTATTAATAAAAATTTTATAATAAACTTTACACACACAGCTCTCTATATTTATGTGATTTAGAAATATGAAATGGACATTGTATAATTACTTTATGGTCAGGTGGTGGTTTTGCTTGCCTGTATATTTTCTTGTTTCCAAATCTGAGTATTTGCCACGTGGCGAAAGTACATCACCGAGAGAGATTATTGTTAACATAAGAAATTTGTTGAACAGAACGCAGTTTTAAAAGAAAAAAGAAAACATGGAATATTTTCCTTGGAAGATACAAAGACTTATTTTAAAATTGCTAGGATGTAATAGGACTAATGTGTGAAAACCGCTTACATTTAATTACCTTTCAATATAAAATTCTATTTTGGTAATCCTAATTTATATTGTATGCAAGTAATTTTATCATTATCACACGTATAAATCTGTTTGGTTTCATTTTTTCGTTGCAAATAGCTTTCAGTTTATAATACTGCTTGAATGTATTGTTCAGTGATTAGTTATTAATTATATTATATTAATGGTTAATTATCAATGATATTAACAATAATTTTGTTGAGTTTTTAGAGACTTAAAGATAGATTGACAGATTAATAGATTTATTATTATTATCATCAATTGATGTTTTATTATAGAACCCCTACAATTATGAGATTTATTTATACGTACGAGTAAAGTGTGAAACTTGAATAAGAGGATATTAAAGACAGTTAATAATATATTTTTTTTGTCCCATTGATTGGGCAACGAGAACTGATGAGTAACTAATCAAAATATAACTTCCACAATACAAAATACTCATAAAATTATAGAATTGTTATGTTGTATTTTTTTTGCGCTGTTGTGTTACAACGGCTATACATGTCTCAATGCGTGCTGTGAACATATAGTATATTAATACCGTGTGTTATAGACGAGGATGTTCTGTTTCATGTTATCAAACCTTTATTGTAAGTTTAACTTTGTAAAGTATTATTTATTTTTTAATTATATCACATTATTGGAAAAGTTGATGGCATTTGTTATTAAAATCCATGCTTATCGGCTGTAGCGCTTATATATACGACCTCTTGTATTGCTTTTTATTTATATATTATTTATTATTGCTTATTGAAAAATAAATCATCTCAGAGTACTTTTAGTTTTGTGAATTACCTTTTTTATCCGTTAATATCCTGCTCCTAATATCTAGTAAACATTTGCACTTCCTACCTTCATATTTTTTGTTTTTCTTGCTATATTTGGGTATGCATGACGCATCAAGCGAAATTATCAGCACTTGTTTGTACTATACTAATTACTTCCTATTTATAGAAGTAGTGTAGTGCCGCAAAAATGCTAAATGATTATGATTAACAAAAAGAATAAAAGTGAAATGACTTAAAATATAAAATAATATGTAATAGGAAATTATCTAATCTAGAGATTAGATCTAGATTAGATTTAATAAATTAGGTCTACGGATCCGAGTAACGTGTAAAAATATTTTTACAAACTATTATTTAAATAATCCTATATATCATAGGTCGTTGAAGTATGCGTAAGCTGATAAGCAATAACATGACTATAGACTGACTAATCATATCAGATAGGAGCTTTCACATTTGCGTATGCTGAAAATGCAATATGTCATTTGTACAAAGTTGAACCTAACACAGTTAATGATATGATACTACAGTGTGTACTAATTATTATATTTTTATATATTAAAATATGATTCACAATAGTCGTTATTTTTTTTAACTGAATATGCACAAAGAAAGTCAGGCAACTTTATAAAAATATTTCGTCAGTCAAGTAAATATTTTTTTACAATGTTCCAAAATGTGATAAAGGTGCGAAATATTCATGGAAATATCGGCTATCAATATTGTTGTCACTCAAAAAGATATATCAAGCGAGATAAAGATATCCGATATCAGCTATATCAGCGGTTTAAATTTGGCCGTAGTATATTTCCTACAGCAGTATATAGCAAAACCGCTCGCTCGCGTGTTAACAAGATATCTGTATCTGTCAGTTATACTCGGACCATCTGCTTTTAACGTATCAGTGGTGCAAGTATGAGCCACGCAACGAAAGAACTAATGAAGAGTAAGAGAGGTGTACTTTATATAATAT